AAATAAGTCCTCCCAAAACGCTTCAGCTTTACTCAGGTCTGATTGACGCTCATAATGAGCGAAATCGATAAATCTCAATTGATTTTCATCTTTTGTCGACTTTTCATTTGTATATTCTTGCGTTAGTTGTTTCACAAACAAGTATTTGGAATGATGATCGATAGCTGAGTGATGAAACACCAAAAGAACATAATCGTCTTTTGCGAGTCGATTCTTTTCTTTTTGATTTTGTTTCAAAAGATGATAACGAAAGATATGTCCTTTATTCAAATCGAAATGTTTGGTCATTTGTTCTTTGTAGATGATTTCATTAATTTTGTCGTGATCTGTAACATCGATGGTGGTAATTTCGAATGAATATATATCTTTGTTGAATGGATTGATTTTCTGTTGAACGGAGTGTTCTTCCAAGTCAAAGTCTAGTTCAGTACCGAAGATTTCGTTTTTGCTGAGAACATTTTCAATCGCTTGGCGAAAACGGTTGATAGATAAGTAACCATCGTTGACTTGATAAACAAGAACGGAGTTATAATTGAGTAGATTTTCATCTTTGCTTGTGTACGTCGCACGAATGGACTCATCAAGCCAAATACGTTCTTGGCTGTATGAGCTTTTACCTAGAATAAAATCTGTTTTTCTACATCGAATCTTTCTACTATGTTGTATAACAAACCTTTTTTAATTTTCAATCGCTTCCAGTTATCATCGGCCATTTTCGATCAACTGATTTGTATGTCTCAATCGGTTTGTGTATTCATAATGTCAACTCCATCGTTTGCAATGATCAGCGATCCGTATCGCTGATTAATGAAGTGTGCTAAATACGTTAAATCGAATAGAAAGAAAGCCCTTTTTTCTCCTATTGAAAAAAGGACACCCGTGGTAGTTACTTCAAAAAAGATAAGAATACTGTTTGAATGTCTCTATACGACATCTGGATAAACTTGAAATGTTTTTTTTTGTTTTAACTTATTTCTTTTATATTCATTCAAGTCTACGAACAACATTTTTTGTACATTTTCTTTAATTGAAAAACATTCGTTCTTGCCAAACGAAAAAAGAAACATATCGAAATCGTATTTCTTTGTCAAATATTTCGTATCAAGAAAAACAAATTTTACTGTTGTCGAGGAATGCAACCTTTCAAATACTTTGTTTGATCCAAAGAAAAAATACAAGAACTATGATTTCATTTCGCATCGAAGCGTTAAGAAATGAATGGACGCGGAAAAAGAACCAATGAAATGTGTACTTATAGTGCATGGTAACATATTGTCACGTCACGTTCTCTGGTCATATAATATTAGACCTTGATTCTCTTCAGAGAACATTCTTTGTTCGCGTGTATGTGTGTTAACGCTTTATCATATGTGGTCGAATGAAAAGATATGAAACAGTTTGTTCTCGTTTAGCTTTTAGATAAAATGGAAGGCCATAAAAAATCAACAACACAAACAAAAAAGTCAAGAAAGATCATTGGTCATGTTCTCTTTTTGTAAGTCATTCATTTAAATTACACCGGAAATAAGTCAAAATTGAGTACTTTGTAGATTATTCGGTATTGGAACATGGCTGAATTTGAATGGTATATGGATCGAATTACCGCTATTAATTCCTCGATTATCCGAAGGATGGGGATTATCACCACAACTAGGAATGGCAAGCAATATTGCTAATATTGGTCCGGTAATAATTGCATTAATTCGCCATATCATTGGAGAATCATCAGCCTATGAAGTTCCATCCATATGTGTTATATATATTGTTGGTATAACTGTACCCATAATTCTGTCGTTTACATGGTTCAAACAAGTTTATATATTTGGAACAAATCGTTCGTTGTATCTATTAGTTCTTGGTTTTTTCCTTGCATTGGTTAATTGTACGTCATCGGTAACTTATCTTCCGTTTGTGAATCGATTTGATCCAAAATGGTTGAATATTTATTTTGCTGGAGAATCTTTATCATCATTGTTACCAGCTATTCTTGGTCTCCTACAAGTGAGAAGAACTTTCCATGAATCTACTTGATAATGCATTTTTTATTCATAGGGTGTTGGACGATCTGATTGTATTCCATCACTGACTAATCCATCAATTCTTATCGAGAAAACATATCCTCCACGATTTTCAATTGAAGTTTATTTATTTTGTCTCTCCGTTCTTATGTGTGTATCATTTATAGCATTTTTGTTGCTTTGGAAAACTCAACCAAAAATTGATAAGCCAGTTAAAAATCCAGAGCCAGTACAAGAAACCCTATTGGAAGAAATAACCAAAGTTGAGGTTGCCCACACGAATGAAGAAATCAAAATTGAAGTCGTCAATACAAACGAAGAGAAGTTCACTAAACAAACAATTGCCTATTTAGCCATTATTCTATGGACGAGTATACTTCTAATCGGATGTATTCCTTCAATCAATTCGTTTTCACTGAATCCATATGGAGCAGCCACATTTCACTATGTGATTATCATGTGTCAATGCTGTTATCCATTGGTATCATTCATATCGACACAATATCCGAAATTGTTCACTGTCACAACGGTTCGAATTATTATTGCAACAAGTTTAGGAACATTAGCTTTTATTTATATCATGATGACAGGTAAAGAATCCTTTCATTAATTATCTTCTGAGATATTCATTGGTCTTTTCGTTCAAAGCATTTCTATCACCGTGTTCACCTTTTGTTGATGAAGCTTACGGAAAATACATTGTTGTAAGTTGAAAATAATTTATTCTATCATGCGATTTTAGAAATATCTCCTAGGCAATAATGTGGATATTTGTGTATTTGATATTTTATTATGAGCGAGTTGCATTGGGGAACTATATGAATAGCACTTCAGGCCACCGAGGTTTATTTTGGTATGGTTTGTTGACACAAGCAGGAGCATTTACTGGCGCAGTACTCATTTTTGCACTGAATGCTTACGGCATATTTAAAGAACGAAGTTTCTGTGGCAAATATAATTGCTCTTAAATCCAAATATTCCTCTTTGCTTAGTCAAATTTGTTCCTTTTTTTCCAGTTAACAGTAGTATTCATATCCTTTTTCTTTTTATCAGCCGGTGAAAATTTTTACGTGATCTTTTTCTTTTCATTCTTCAAAAACTTAATAAAAGTGAACAGTGTACTCAGGCATCCATTTCAAACAGAAAACTGTTAATTTTATTTGAAACAACATGGATATTTGTTGATCTATAGAGAAATCGATCGAAAGCTTTATTTACTTTGTTTTTGGTGCAGGTAATGTATGAAACAACATCCTTGTACCAATTTTAATTACTTTTCTTCTGCCAATCCGTCGAGTTTAAACGAAAAAAAAGTAAAAGTATCACTGAGTACATTGTTCGAATACACATATAAGAAGAGTTCGCATTCTTTGAGCATTGTCTTGATAACATCGAAGAACAAATCATTTACAAACGTTCGTAGCTTGCTATTAGGAAACTCAGCTACATATCTGATTCACAAACAATTAGACAGCGGAGTAACTTTGTTTGTAAGTTGTATGATTAGTTGAATGTTTCATATAGTAAAGCAATAAGATAGACAACTTAATGCAACTGAAACAGTATTTCCAATCGGAACACTCGATTAAAGATACCATCAGATATCACGCATGTTACACAAACTACTCCGAATGAAGAAGATAAAAAGCTCGAAATTATCGAAGTTCGTAATCTCTATGCTTATCGTGAGAGTCACTGTAGACATTGTTCGTGTTTAAACGTCTTTCATAATCGTCTTGATAAGATTTCTTCAAATATAATTTGATTATAGGATGCTTCTGTTACAGTACAAAAATAAAATATCGTTTCCTAGAAAAGAAATAGCTCGCGAGTATAGAACGATTGTTTACTCCAAACGCCAATGTAAAAAGAGATGAGAGGCATTGTTTGATTAATACATGACTGACATCTATTCGTGTTAACTTGCAAACAGATTTTCATTGGCTGATTAGGAATTGAATACATGACAATTGAAGTGAATTAATGGTGATGATCAAAATAATTTCCAAGAAATGGATTATGATCAACAATGTACGTTTTTCTTCATAAAAATACAACTTTCTTTTGAATTTATTTATAAATTAGTATTTATTAATCAACGTAGTTCAATAAAATACACCGAAGGAAAACTTGACGAACTCAATTTAACTAGTAAATCTTCTACCGGAACCATCAACGATGAAAATGATCTGGATTTGAAGACAAACATCGTTCAATGTTTGAATGAAGAAGTTCAAAGCGTAAGACCGTTTATCCAATCGAAAAGTGACGATCAAATTGTACCAAAGAGATCCCTCTTTCATTTGATTATTCATGGATCAAAGCAATTTTCTTCATACAAATATCAATTTTATCCTGTAGGATTGACCTTCCTTCAAATATTCTTAAATCTTTTTGTCTTTGTCTAGTCTGAAGGATCCTTATTAAACGTTATTCAATGGCAGAAGTTAATTAGCTGGAGTGGGAAAAAAGACTGGAAATTGTTGTACAAAGGAAGTCGAGATGGATTTCATTGCAAAGATTTTCATCGTTTATGTGATAATCAAGGAGCGACGATAACTGTGATTCGTACAAAACAAGGATACATTTGTGGATTTTCAAAATGATTCTCGTGCTTTTCTATTTTCATTCTCATCGAATTTGGCCAACAAATATCCGTTGATCGATCGTCATACTAAATATGCTGTTTGGAATAGTCCAAACTATGGTCCGACATTTGGTCACGGTGCTGATCTATTTGTTTGTTCAGAGAGTAATCTCATCGGTGAATCATATTCGAAATTCTCTTCATCATATCGTGATCCAACTGGTTTAGGATGGAAATCTTTAACCGGAAAGCAACAATTTCTTATCGATGACATTGAAATCTACCATTGACAGTTTGTTTTCAAGGTTTTTATTGTTTTAGATATGATTTTAGACGATACTAATTCAACTTCATTGGTTGTTAATCTGGTGATCGTTGGCTTTCATCATAAAAAAGGACATCAAGTAATTTCAATTCACTTTCATCAGTGTTATACAAACCAAATCTTTTTGTTTAGATCGAGTATAGTTATCCATTGGCGAAAGAAAGTTTAGATGAACAATGGTCAAATATTTTATCTTACGCATTACCAGATGGTGCACATAATCGAGAGAAAGATTTGATTTATTTCCATATACCATCGTTAGATAAAGAAACGAATGCTCAACGGACATTATTTGGTATTGCTGCATATAGACAGATTGACGCTAATGTAAGATTGCATATGTCGATGGAGTATGATCATTCGTATGGGTTTTCTTTAGAGTATTGTTAATAAAGAAGCAGATGTAACGAGAAATTCGATTCAAAAAAGTGTTTGTCTTTTGTTAAGACAAGTAAATCTTGATTTGTTTACTTATTCCTTTATTGATTTGTATTTTTTGTTTAGCCATTGTATGGAAACATCAGTGAAGAACTTCAATTGTTAACGGAGAAGTATTTCGAAGAGAAAGATTTTAGTAAAATAAATATATTCGAAGAATTTGTTCAAAAATTGAATCTCAATCCACTTGTATTTGATATAAAGCATTTTTCCGCGAAAGATTTATTTATTCAATATCGACGAAAGACTTTAATTCTTTTAAAACTTATTTTATTACAAAAAAAAGTTCGTATTTGTTCTTCTCCTCGTTTTCATTTCTCTCTTACATCTTCCTTTCAGGTTCTATTTATGCTATCACCAATTGAAAACTTAGTCAAAACCATTCTTACTCTAGTCTCTTTGATTCCCGGTAAATCTACGAATGAAAAATGGAATCCTGTAGGAATTCAATGTTATTTGCTTTTGTTTCATAGAATTGATTCCAAATGGTCTAAATGAATGTACATTACTTGGAGAAAAGGAAAATCTTCCGCGATCGATCAGTTTAAACGATACCGAAGATATTGTTTTCGATAAAAATTTCAATCAGCAACTCAACTTCGATCAAGTTAAATTGAAAACCAAAGTGGATGATGATGATGATGATGCAGTAGAAATCTCATCAATTAGTACACAAGAAAAAGAAAAGGAAGAAGGAGAACAGCAGGAAACGAAATTGAATCTAATGAAACGTGCAACATCATTAACAGCGAAGTTATCTGATACATTTAATCGATTAACGACGACGTCGAACACAACCACCACAGCGATGACAACGAGTCCATCAACTCTTATCGCAAATTATTCGCAAGATTATCTCAACCATTTAGATCAATTTCAATTTCCATTGCAATTGTTCAACAAGGTTTGCTTCATCTGTGTGCTTTTCTCATATCGAATTTTTTGTAAATTTAGAATAATCTTCTTCATCCATATTTACCGTTGAATAATCTTGATCTATTGACAAATCGAAATGTTAATTCGTATGTGATTGGAGCGAGCAATGCATTATTTCGACAACAGGTCACTCATGATATCATTATTGTTGAGAATGATGAGGACTTTCTCATTCAATCATCACAATTGAAATCTGAACTGCAATTGACAACTGCTGATTTGAGATTTTTACAATTATTCGAAGAGGAAAATAATGGTGTTAAGAATGAGGAGGAGATTCGACGTTTATTTTTAAATTATCTCTTATCGTTGATGGCTGTTGCGCAAACACCAAGTTTGTTAACCTTTTGCAGTAAAATTGATTTCTTAAGTATAATTTGTAGACGATGAAGCAATGAATGACTTCAATTATTCATTTGTTAAATCATTCCAATCGACAGAAGCGTTTCGTTTGTGGCAGTCGAAAGGACCGTATCCATATTTTGATCAAATTATTCCAAGACATCCGCAGGCTGGACAACTCAATGTCGCGGATGTTAAACTGCGTGTTGCTCAGTGAGATTTCATTAGTTTCGAAGATTTCAGTGTAAAACTTCTCTTTTTTTTTCAAGTGTCTTGGATGATGCGGAAGCCGGAAGACAATTGAAAGGAGCGTTTGAAGATACTTCGCATTTTATGGGAGAAAAATCCCGTGCGGCAACGAAAGTTCTTGGTCAAGCAAAAAATTCCATTTTTTCGTCAGTGATTGGAACAATTAACCAAGGAAAACAATGGCTAAATAAACCACCAACGTCATCCGAGTAGAAGAAACTGTGCAATTTCTTGTCTGTCTTCGTTTAATAAATTTTAGTTCTTTAACATCAATGTCATAATGTCTCAAATGACGAACGATCATGCTTGGTTTTCATAGCTAAAAAAAGAGAAATTTTCTTGAAACTGAAGTAAAAAATACAAAAAAACTGGCTACACTTGAATGAGTTTTTCACCGAAGCGAATTGTGATACGTGAGCTATTATTTGACTTTTTCGCATGTGTAAAAAAAGAACTTATTCGGTCAACAAAATCCAGAAAAAACGAGACGTATCCTCGAACAAAAACAATTCCAAAATAGTTTGTATGAGTTGCGAAGGTACAGATCATGATCGATCTGAATGCAAATTACGAGATGCGCTATGTTTCAAATGTCACAGGAAGGGACATTGCAAAGGTATGTCGATCAAACATCGACAATGTGTTCAGTTTTCGTTTATTTTCCAAATAAACACTTATCCACTTTAAGACGTGACATAAAAAGGATATTAGATAAAATATCAGCTTGAGAAGAGATCAGTGTTCATAAAAATGAGTGTCTGAAGATGGCGAAGTGTTAAGCATTATCTAAAACGAAAAAGACATACAATTAGACGCTAGTAATCAAGAAATCTTTACCAAAATAATTGTTGATAATGTCAACAATCGGTCGATATTGAAAGAAAAATAATTGAAGAATACATATGATATAAGAATAGCCAACCTACCTCACAGATAGCTGAAGTCAGTCCAACCGTTGATAAGATCCGATTAAAGGATTCCTGCTGGAATTACACGGATCCAGGAGCCGGAATCATTGTCCTGGGTTGGTATTGATACATATTCAACCACATTGGACGCCTATCAAAATACTGGGATAATTAGGAGTAGTAAGAAAATAACTTCTTCCTTCTCCTCATACAAGAATAACTTAAAGATCACCTGAAGAATTCGCAATGCCGGGTTTTTGTCATGCGGAACTGAAATGCAACATTTCCCCAGGTCGATCATTCCGGCGACTGGATCCGTTGAAATCTGAGTCGGTTCCGGTACAGCTCTTCTCGATTCCGGCACAGTTTTCGCCGATTCCGGCCGGAACCGAGCGTGCCATAATAACCTGGGTCATATCTTCAGCCATTACTAATGCTTCGATAATATTAGATGCAATTAACTATGTGTATTTAAACTAAGATAAAGAATAGGAAATACATGAAGAACGAAGTAGATCACAAAGATATTCACAGCTCTTCAGTTTGATCGAAAATTGCCATCTTTGATCAGAGTTGAAAGTATATCTATGAACCTTTCCTTTCGATCTCTCTTATGCGATATGGCTCAATAAGCACACGTATTTCTTTTACTACATTGTCTTGTCTTAGATGAAAACTAACGATTCTACACGTAAAGAAGATAAACTCATCATTATGACTGATTGGTCGTTATTCGAGAGAAAATCACAACGATTATAACCAATATAAGATGATACAATAACGTAACGTCACACAGGTTACGACCCAGGTGGACGAATCCCATACTCGGATCTTATCGGAATCCGACGAAATCCGATAGGATTCCTGGTGACGGAATTGCTTCGGATTCCGACGGTTACAGATCCCATGTCGGATTGCGTCGAATCCGAAACACAGATTTTCTAATAGTCATCATAGAACCTAGCTAAAAATAACGCTCATAAAATTTGCAACAAATGACTGGATTTTTCCAGTCGGAATCCGATGCAATTCCGCCACCAGGAATCCTATCGGATTTGTTGACCTGGGTTTTTATGTTAATTTTTTTTAGATGTGTTTGACCTTTCGCCTTTCCTTCAAAACAATACGTCGTTTGTTTTCCTTTCTATATAGGCGATCATTATATATGAAAAAAACATACATATATATTAAGCGAGATATGTTCAGCGAGTTAGATAAGAATAATATAATTATGAATGATTTCAACATACTCGATTTGCCTGATGAAATTTTATTGATGATTTTCAATAAACTCAACACCATTGATGTCTTTCGTTTAGTACAATACGTCAATCGAAGATTTTATGAATTGTCACTCGATGGTTGTCAAGTTCAAGATATGCAAATGACTACTGTGATGGGCGTCGATACACATTATAAACAAATTTCTCCAATCGATACCAATCTTCCAAGAATTTGTAGGAATATTTTACCTAAAATTCATGATAAAGTACAGAAACTTACAGTTGATCAAAGTTCAATGATTCCTGTTCTTCATGCTGCTGATTATCCTCAACTTTATTCATTGACAATTATCGATATTGAAGAAGAATTTCTTCATGATTGTTTATCAAGTATAGTATTTCTTTTCTATTATCAATCATCGGCAAAATAATTAATTTTTTTACAGATAATATCGTTCTTCGCGATCTTCTCATTAAACAAATAACTAATCTTAACATCGATATTAAATGTAGGACGCCACTTGCGATAACTGGATTCCAAATATTTGAACTAATCATATGTTTGTGTGAAAATTTGACGACGTTCAATTTTGGTGACATGTTATTTTCACGGGAACGTGCCGTTGGTTTTCCCACAATACAATCAAGAAGTTACAGTCACTCAGCTTTAGTAGAACTGAGGATGAAAATTGAAACTTTCTTTGACCTGGTTTATCTTCTTGATGGCCGCTTTCCTTGTTTATCGACATTGATCGTTCATGTATATGATCATTCTGGTCCAACAAATCTAGATGGAATAGTAAGCAAAATTTCAGTGTTCGTGCTGAGCAACACGAATAACTTCTTTGTAGAAGCAACTTTCGACATTAAAATATTTTTCTCTCTGTGGAAGTCTTTATATTCCTACACCTCTTTATGATCCATTGATTGTTCCATTACTTTCTGGAATGATAAATCTTGAAAAATTACAATTATGTCTGCGAGTTGTTAGATTGAACTCGAATTATATTGATGGAAGTCAGTTATATGATCAATTTTTATGTTCAATGACGAAATTGAAAAGATTTACATTCGATATCAAGACAATTGTTCGAAATCAAAACGTTGACATTGCACTTTCATCAAATGAACAGATTCAACGTAGTTTTGTGGGAAAGTTTGATCAACAGGTGTTTTCATATATTAATTCAAACTCATCGAAACTAACGGGTGTATGCCGTATTTGTTCACTTCCATATGATTTTCGATATTTCTTTAATGTCAATAATTATTTTCAAGGTGGACGATTCGAGAAAGTTCGACAATTGCGTATGAAGGATTCGATTGGTTTCACTTATGAATTATTTCAACGTGTTGCTCAAGGTTTTCCTTTTCTCAAATATTTATATATAATTAATATGAGTGCAATGAAAAACAAGCCACCTGGATCACTGTTGCTCACATTCCCATATCTCACATATCTTGATATAGATCGAGCACATGATGATTATATTCTATTATTCCTTCTGAAGAAACACGCTTTTCTACCTCGTTTATCATATCTATCCATCGAGAAAAAGCCACTGAAAACAATAACGAACGACTTCACTATCGACTCGACAGATTTCAACTTCAGTGAATTGAAAACTCTCATTGTGGGCAGATCATTTGTTCCACCAGCAAACTTTCATGTATATTTCCCTATTTTAGTAATGTATGAATAAAAGACAAAAGTGGAAACTTTTTCATTTGTGTGAGGGTGTAAGTGAGAAGTTTTTTTATTGTAATAGATAGAACTCATCGAGTTCTACTTGGAACGAGGGTGACCAGATTTCGAATGCACTTGTGTACGCATCCGTTCAAGAATAGGTCAAATCCGTGTCAAAGACATTCTACATTGTTTCACTGTGATCCCATACCACGTTATGGCATACGGTGAACAGTAAAGATATTTGCTAGATTGTAAATACAATCTTTTTTCTCGTTCGAGTATTCCAACGTTAATCGCTTTACAAACAAGTATTTGAAATGAGAATCAATATCCGGATGATGAAAGACCAAAAGAACATAGATATACTTCGCTAAACTCATTTCCCTTTTGTTTTAATAAATGACAACGAATTCATCAGCTCTTATTGCAAATTATTCAAATCAATAAGATTTGTTTGACTACTNGAAAATCTTGATCATTTGTCAGAATAGGCAACCGATTTTCGTCTTCGTTTAAATATTCTCTTTCATATTCATCTCTTTGCGGCATATATGTCAATGTTTTTTGTTGTTCACTATCGATTAACAATGGTGGATAAATAATCGATTGATTTGCAAAATCTTTTTCATTAATTTGATTTTCACCGATTAATTGTTTAGTATTGCGAAACGATTGAAAATAGATCGAGTAAGGATTATTTAAACGTGATAAATACATATCTTCGAAATGAGTTTGACAATCGAACTGATTTCGTGATAATTTCGCAGCAATATCGATCCAATTTCCTAAGCCACATGTTTCAATTGCCTCGATTAAGTTCATCTCATCATTGCATAACCATTCGCTGATCCGATGATTATCTAATGGAATATCATTTAACTAAACGATCAAACGAGGTTCGCTATTTTCGGACAAGTTTCAATAAAATTTTACTTTATATGTGGATAGCGGATGTTGTTTTGAATGTTCGCGTAATTGACTGACGTTGATTGAGCATTTAACGCAAACTTTTATCGAACGTGATGGACTACATTTTAAACAAACGATTTCTAATGAGGATGGACGTATGCAACAGTAATCACATTTATTCATCTGAAACAACGGAAACCGAAAATTGTGATCGATACGCGAGATTTCTCGTTAAACAACAACAAAATTGAACAATTCTGTTAATTATCTGAAACAATTCCTCACAAAGGTCGAACATTTCGACCAATACTATTTTCGGTAAGAATTTTCTAAATCAAGAAAAAAAAGAGGTCGCTATTCATCGTTTGAATACTATTGCTTTCCATCAAGTATATAGAAAGTGCTCATTTTGGAATCGAATGAAGTACTCAATTCTCGTACAAAAGAAAAATTACGTTGATGTCGCAATGCTCAATGAGGAAATTTGAACGAAAGTAAGTTTTTTTCTGTTTGTATAGTAACAATGAAGAATGCCTGCAGCAATATTTGCACTATCGTGTATTAAAAGAGACAATAACTTGTTCTTCTTTTTTCTTCTTCTTCAAAGTTGAATGAAAAATAAATCAGAAGAGAACCATAGTGGTTGTTATTGACATTTGAAGATGTTGATTTGAGAGAAAAGGAAAAAAAAGAAAGATTAACAGTCATTATTTGTGTAAATTTTTCGAACACAACAGAAAAAAAACACTCACGCATTTTCTCTGTGTTGAATTTCTTCGTTCTTCGTTTTTTTTCTTCTTTCAACTGTTACTTTTCTCTTTTCGAAACAGCTACTCTATCAAAATAGTAAACATCCATTCACTGGCGAATTTCTTTCAAAGATGTCTGAAGAAAACTCATCAACAATAATCAATGATTCATCCGGCGAAACGAAACGACGAACTAATCCAAGAAAACGATCAGTTCGAAAAAGACGATCTCTTTACATTGAACCAAAGCCAGTTTGTTTTATCGGTCAAGGAAACAACGCTGAATTGTGAGTCGAAAATCTTTTCTAAAGATATGCCATTTCATCTTTTGTTTCGAAAAGAATTGAAGAGATTTTAAAGTCCATCGGTTACGAAAATCGGCCGGACAAAGTTGATGAATATAAATTCAAATGGGTTCAATGTAGCTATGAAGTGAATTGGAACTTGTTTAAAGATGGAGAACAAATTGTCAATCATATCCAAGGGGAAGATTATTTTACAAACAAATTACAATTGTATCAATCGTTGCAAACGTACGAAAATACATCTCAAACGATAATCAAACGTCCACCGACATACTTATCATTGAACGAATACCTTCCTCAAACGTTTAAATTAGATGAAAAACACGATCGAGATATTCTTTTCAATTTACACAAACGTCCGTTAAAAACAAAACAATTTGTTTATTTTGCACTTCTCATTTTGTTCTTAATTTTAGCTGGTGACGTTTGGATTTGTAAACCAAGTTGTCTCAATCAAGGAAAAGGAATCTATATAGTACGAGATATCAGTTCATTGAAAGATAAATACGATCAGCTGGAAGCAAATCCCAGATCGAGATCGAGTACATTCAGACAACAAAATAAAACAATTGTTCAACGGTTTGTTCATGTTCTCATTTTCCAATGAACGTTTTGCTTTTCGTCTTTAGTTATATCATGAATCCATTACTAATTCACGGAAAAAAATTTGATATTCGATGTTATATGTTGATCTCAAGTGTTCAGCCACTTCTCGTTCATTATCATTCGGGTTACATTCGACTTTCAATGTTTGATTTTGATCAACATGACGAAAATCTTTTAACACATCTGACTAATCAGGTTATTATCTGTTGAAGGTATTTTATCCTTGAAAGTTCGTCTATTTCCATTGAAGTACATGCAAAAGAAAGATCCGAAATACTATGAAATGAAAGAAGATACAGCTTGGACGATGGAGCAGTTCAAGTAAAGTGATTGATTTTACAAAAAATTGGAATACAATCGTTGCTTTAGTGATTATATGAATAAGTATATTTTACCGAAGAAAAAACTTCCTCCAAATTGGGTTTTGGAAGTTTTACCTGTGAGTAAAGAAGAAAATCTTTAGCTGGAAAGAGAACTAAGCTGATTTGTAGAAACAAATTGAACGCATCATGTTAAACGTTATCGAAAGTATTCGAATGCGATTGAAACGACGTATTGGTTGTTTTGGTTTGTATGGTTATGATTTTATGATTGACGACGATCTGAAAGTTTTGCTCATTGAAATCAATGTTAATCCAGCTCTATCAACGAATACAAATACACTTGTCCAAGCGATTCCTCCAGTTGTTAAAGAATCAATTTGTAAGTCAACTATTCCTCTTTTTCTCGAGAAAACCTTATCTTTTCAGTAATATCAATCGAATGTTTTGAGAAGATTCATCATGCAGAAAAGATTTTTCCGCTGAAATCTTTGCAAACATTTCAATGTATTTATAACGAATTAGAACGAAAATCTTCATTACCATTAATCCGACAAAAACGTCAATTATCACCATCGAAAGCAACTATTACCAATACAGATGATAAAGCTCTTCGAGAGAAGACAAATTTTTTCTATTCCGTCGACCGTACTCAATTGAATCAACAAGAAAATGAGTTATTAAGTACATTACATCGATCACTAACACATTCTCAATTGATGAGAACGTCCAAATCAGTGAATGATATCCATCAAGTACAGATTCAACGCCGTCCTTTAACAAGACCCAAATCTATTCGCTCAAGGTCAAAATCTTCAAATCGAATCAAACCCAATGAACCTGCTCAGTCTTCATGAAAATTCTTCTCACTCATGCTCGAACGAAATGCGAAGAAATACGTTTCAATTGATTATACTAATCATTTTTCATATTTTAAATACAGTAAATAGTATCTTACTACACAGTTAAAATGACACTACTCAGGATTAGATCCAATCGTGTCGTATCAATGAATAACACAGAACAGCGACTTATTCTTTTCCCTTTAGAAAGCATATGAATAGATGGACAAAAGCGAAGTTTTTTTTTATTCTGCTCTTAGCAGTGTGGATTTTTCTGTTGAACTGTTAATCTTAACTGCTCACATAAAAGATTTCCATTAATTGGTGGCCAACTCGACAATTAATGTTAAAGAAACGTGTTCTAAGTGAGATGAAATATCATCAGAGTATGAAAAGCAAATTTGAACGGTTACAACGTATCTCGTACATCATTTACTCATAAGCATTCATTCGAAAAATCGTTTTACATGTTACCAGTACAAGTGACCCCATTCAGAGAAAAACATACAAAGTGAGAGAAAAAGAACAAGAATAGCTAAATGACAGCAGTATAAAAATCACTGGAATCATTAAAATAGTTAAGAATAAGAAAAAGATAATGTGGTTGAAGATCAATCTTCTTCAACAGAATATCAATCACAGATATATAGCCTTATTTTACTTACGATGATGTAAAAATAACAATACTGTCGCACTAGAACTATGAAGAAATGAAATACTCCTCAAAATGCTGGTCTATTTAAACAATATATTCTAAGAAAAAGGCACATTGTACCGATACAAGTAAACGCGTAAACATATACAAGAAGATGAATTATTTTCTCACAAATGTACGACCTCTATGAGAGAGTCCAATTTTAAAATATGATATTATACAGTGAAGCTTAATAACCTTTTGAGAACATATGATTACCATATCTCATTTGCGTAAAGGAAATAGAATAGGTAAGTTATTAAATCTATTGCAGATATATTTGAATCTTTTTCTTAGCACCATATAATGAATAAAATAAACAAAAATACTTATAATGATTGTCTCATTATTACTTGAGTCACAAAGGTCACTCATTGTCACATACGATTCAACGCTTAGATACCGAGATCAAGAGAGGCAATATCCATGCAGGTTAACACATCGTACACTCTTCTAAGTAGATTTACTCAATACTGATAGTGAACCATAATGAATGCATTGACACAGTATCAGTATCGAACTGTAGTTATCTCGATTGTTTCGAATGCGTTCTTTTCATTGGATGAGAATCTATTCATTCATATCATTTCAACTGATAAAACAATGTTTAAACATATTTTTTTCTTTCTTTTTCAAGAACATACCTAAATGAGTAATATTGAATCTTTTGATGTTATCATTATTGGTGCTGGTTTTGCTGGTCTTTCAGCTGCTAAATATCTCACGTCGAAATCAGTTCGATGTCTTGTAATTGAAGGTCGAGCTCGTATTGGCGGAAGAACATTGAGCGAAAAAGTGTTTGACGAAAAATGGACAATTGACTTAGGCGGACAGTGGATCGGACCGAAACAAAAGCGAGTTTTATCATTAATCGATCAATTCAATCTTCATTTAGTTGAACAAACATGGTATCATCAAGATCCGTCACATTTAGGACAACAACTTGGTTTATCGCCGTTAACCAATGATCAGTTAGATGCGATTGAAAAAATCTGCTCTGAATGCGACACAATGTCATTGGAATTAGCAGATGTTGAGCATGCTTTGGAGTATGAGAAAAGTTCTGAATGGTCGCAAATATCTGTTGCACAATTTATTCACGACCATCCATTAGTGAAAGATTATCGAACTGAACAGGAATTAAAACTTCACATATTAACATTAACTGGTAAGCAAATTTCTTACTATTATTTTCAAAACTGTTTTTTTCCTTTAAATTCAAGCGTGTGACGCAGAAAATGTTTCATTATTGTACTGGTTAATATTAATTCGCTCGATACCTGGTGGATTAAATAGTTTAGATGACGGCTTAAATGGCGCTCAACATTATAAAATATCATCTGGCACTCAAAATCTTTGTTACCGAATGTCTGAACATGAAAACATTCGCTTAAACGATCCTCTCGTGTCGATTAATTATCAGTCGAATGACGAAATCCTTCTGAAAATGAAATCAGGTGTCGAAATTCAATGTCGTCGTCTTCTTTTAGCATTTTCTCCTTCGCTACTTTCAACAATCGACTTCTGCCCATCGTTATCGACGAACAATTACTGTTCAATGACCATGGGACAATGCATTAAGACGATCTTTATCTATTCAAAGCCATTCTGGAGAAATATTCTAGTCGATCAAACTGATAAACAAGGACCCTGTTCAAATATATTCGAATCCAATTATCCCATTGCACTCATTGGGTTGGTATTAGGTGAAAGAGCTTCCTATTGGTGTAAACGTGATCAGAACGAACTAATCGAATCAATCATTGAACAATATTCAGTTCTTTACAATACGAATGAAAAACCGTTGCAAACATTCGTTCAATATTGGCCAAAAGAAAGTCTTAGTAAAGGCTGTTATGCTGCTGTTTATCCAGCAAGTCCATGCTCGACATGGAGAAATCGAACAAAAGCATTAATCGATGGAAGGATTTGGTTAGCCAGCACAGAAATGGCTCTGGAATGGATTGGATACATTGAAGGTGCCATCGAAGCTGGTGAAAGATTCGCAGAAGAAATTCACCGGACACTCTAATTGTTTTTGACTATGAATGCTTGCCATAAGAGAACAATTTTCGTTTAGAAAGATTTTTGTTGTAACGAAAAACTACATGATACAGAGAAGGATAGAAATAATGTGAAAAATAGTCTTTTGGTTGGGCTATTCAATCAATAAGGAGCAATATGTCGAGCGTTGCGTTCTAAATGAAAAACAGATGCTTTTCGTATAACAATTTCAAAACCGGTCAACAAGATCTACTGACCTTCTCGTAATTGTTCTTGGTGTTTCACGTGCAATGGCCGACTGATAACATTCGCTTTGAACTTGTCAATCTCATCATTTGTTATTTTTTCCTGCTTTTCCCCCTTTTCACGAAATGCAAGTTCGAATGCATCGATTTCGTCAATGAGTTGCACCACCTGCTCCAACTAAAAACCATCAATAATTAGAAAAGTACAAGCATTTGAAAATAACGCTGGCAATTTTTGTCAGTCGAAAACAGAAAGACAACCAATGAACAACGTGTTACAACGCTCTGCCTTTGCCTACATCTACCTGTCTGTGTCAAAAACTACGCAAAAGCACTTATCTCTACGGCTTTGAGACAATCACCGTATGCGTTCAAAACTTACCGGATCTATCGCCATTGTAGTTGATGATTTTCTCAGGGAAAAAATATGATTATGCTCTTCTCTTCAATCGACATTCTCTATAAATATACACTTGCGTTCGCCGACTGAAAAAATATCCAACTTGTCTATGACGTTGATGTTCACTTCCAGGAAAAAAGAAAGAAAAGGATAGTTAAGGATATGTTCTCGCGGACGAAAAATATGCTCGACGTCGGTGACAATCGGCAAATTGAAACCAATTAATTCCGTACAATCTAATTATGTCATTAGAACGAATATTCACTGAGCAGGCATCGAAAGCATGGACATGTGAACATATCTTTTGTTCTTGCGCTTAGCAAAGTATTTCCGTACCTTTTGCTGACTAAAACAAAAGAGGAAATTAAGTACCCAGGTCAACAAATCCGATGCTGGATCCGATCGGATCTTACCGGATCCTACCATCCGACAAAATCCGATCGGATTCCTGGAAACGGAATTGCATTGGAATCCGACTAGAAAAATCCCGTCGGTTTAGGGGTGACACTTTAACTTTAACTTTACTTTATCAAAGTAGGTAAAGTTTAAAGTAAAACTTTAACTTTAAAATTTTAAAGCAAAGTAAAGCACTTTAACTTTAACTTTAAAGTTAAAGT